AGGAAGTGTTTCATTCATTCATTTTTGTTTTTATTGAGGTAAAATATACATAACATGAAATTGACTATTTTAACCATTTTTAAGTGTACAGTTCAGTGGCATTAAGTACATTCACATTGTTGTGCTACCATCACCACCATCCATTTACAGAACTTTCTCCATCTTGCAAAACTGAATCTCTGTCCCCATTAAACATTACCTCCCCATTCCCCCTCCCCCAGCCCCTGGCAACCACCATTCTATTTTCTGTCTCTGTGAATTTGATGACTCTAAGTACTTCATACAAGTGGAATCATATAGTATTTGTCCTTTTGTGACTGGCTTATTTCCCGTGGCATAATGTCCTCAAGGTTCATCCATGTCATAGCAGGTGTCAGAATTTCCTTCCTTTTCAAGGCTGAAATATTCCATTGCATGGATAGACCACGTGTTGTGTATCCATCCCTTCACTAATGGACACTTGGGTTGCTTTCACCTTTTGGTTATTGTGACTAACACTGCTGTGAACATGGGTGTTCAAATATCTGTTCAAGTCCCTGCTTTCAATTCTTTGGGTACACACCCAGATGTTGATTCTCTTACTTTTGATCTCGCATTCTCTGAACTTAGGAGGAGAAATTTGAGAACCCTCCAATAGTAATAGTGACCACTCTCTGCTGGGGCCCCTAAAATGACCTGGGCTCACTTCCCTCGACTCCTGCATGGAAAGAGTTTTTTTTTGTTTGTTTGTTTGTGTTCCCCTTGAGTCACATCTTTAAACATAAAGGAAGTCCACAGGGACTTCTGTAGCTGACTCTGAGGAACAACCCAGTCTTACCCAACCTCCCAAAAGGGAACCCGAGAGACGAGTTTCTTAGTCTAGGTGGGTCGGTCTGGCGCTGAAGGTCAGTAAACCGTGCATGGGATTTTAGAGCAAAAGGGAAGTTTAGAAATCTCTTAGTCCAACCGTCCGTTTTGAGAGAGAGGAAAACCAAGCCCCAGGTTGGCGGCTGACATAGTCAAGCTCAAGGTCACAAAATCAGACTCAGCCCCACGGGAGCTGAAGTTGCATGGAAATCACAGGCCTGCTGCTCTGGCTCCACTGGAAGTTGGGGTGTAGGGCCACCCCCCTTCAGAAGCCTCCGCAGAGATTCTGACTCAGGGTCGGGGGGCCCTCTATCAGGGTTGGGGGTTTTTGAAGAGATGTTAACGATGAGTCTCTTTCCGGAGGCCCGATACCATCAAGGCCTCTGTTTTATGAAGAAATCTTAGGCTTCTTTCACAATCTCTGCTCTTAGCTCTTTCTCAGAACGGGTTCATGTGAATCAAAACGGTGTGGTTGTTAATTAACTGCAGTATAGGTGATTGGTTCCTGTTTTTTTTTTTTTAAAGTCAGCTAACAGAGGCCAAAGGGAAGTTCTCCTGATGCATTTGGTCCCCATGGTGAGCTTGAAGGCTTGGCCATGGGGTTGGCTGTGCCACTGTCACTTTGCCAGGCTTAGCGGAGAGGACATTCTGGGGAAGGAAGGGGAAAGACATTGGAGGCTGTGGGGGGATCACCAGAGTAGGCCCCGAGAATCACCTTCCTCCAGCTAGGGAACCCCAGAAACTGGGCCCCTTGCTCCCAGGTGTAAGTGCTCGTGAACCCTAGAGAGTGTGATTGTCGTGTTGTCATCCTGGGTTCGAATCAGGTGACCCCTAGGGTCTCCTCAGGTTCTGAGCCCGAGGGAAGACCAAAGCTTCCTAAAGGAAGTCTGTGCTCTCACCTGCTCTCCATCCAAAGTGCTTCAGGAACCCAAGTGCAGGCTTCTGGGGTCTGGAAAAGATGTGAAGGTCAGGGGAATTGCTTTCTCCACCATCTTGTCCCGCCAACCAGCCTTGCACTCCCTGCTTCGGGCAGGCTGTCTCCATCGGGTGCTTAAAGGACCACAGATGCAGATGGGCAGAGCCCTGGGCCAGGAGTCAAGTCCTGGCAGGGCAGGGGCACTGGGCCTGGCTCTGCTGCCAGACCCTGGACAAGCCGCTTTCCTCTCTCAGCCTGTTTCCCCCCGTGACCCTCGCCCCGGTGGGCGTCAGATTTGGTGACACAATGCACACAGGGAGCTTTGAGCGCTGCCTCGTCTTCCTCCTTAGCATGTCAGCTCAGTTCCCTCCGCACTGAATAAATGCCCAGTCCCTGGTCTGATGGGCGAGAGCGTGGAGGCCTGGGGCGGGCGGCCGGGTCCTGCTCCACCTCCCTCGGCCCTGGGAGCCGGAGCTGGTCTCTAAGCCTCGGCTCCTTTTCTATCAAGTGGGGTAATAGCACCTCAGCTCACAGGTCAGGAGCGAGGGAGCAAAGCCGTGCGGACCCCGGCTGCTGGAAGTACTTCCTGGTGCTCTGGTGCAGCAGCTTTACTGCCTGTCTTTGGTTCTAGTTGATTTACTAATAAAATATTATGTAAAAAGAAATCATCTTTTGATAGAGAGACAGACTGCAGTCCTCCGAGGCCCCCCTAGAACAGAAGGCGAGGGAACCCAGTCTCCTGGCCCCCCCCAGTGCATGGGGGTCTCCTCCCGCTCTGCCCAGGGTTGGCCTCCCCAGGGGGCTACCTGAAGCCAAGAGTTAGAAGGAGGAAGGATGGGGGGTGTGGGGAGCCCTGGTGGGGGAGGCGGAGGAGACAGGAGGAAGAAGACTGTCCCTGGGAGATAAGGCCACCGCGGGCTGCCCTACAGGCCTGGGGAGACAGCATGCCAGGCGAGCCTTGTGAGGTCAAAATCTGACAGCTGGACAGGACCCCAGAGGCCTTCAAGTCCTGCTACCTCACTTCAGAGTCCAGAGGGGAAGGGCCTGGAGCAGGTCCCGGCTCCTGGTCCAGGGCTGGTTCCTATCCTTGGAGCGTGCCTGCTGTGGGTCAAGCGCTGGGGATGCAACCAGGCAGGACAGGGTAGGAGCAGTGCATGCCCTCCTGAAGCTCCTCCTCCTGTGGGCTGAGAAACCACCACCCGCTCAGCGCTCCCTGTGGTCCAGGCACCACGTGGAGCACTTTACACACTTGTGTGTAATAAATAAATGTCCCTTCTTGCCCCAGCAATCCCAAGAGGTTGGGTTGTCATCCCCATTTAGCAGATCTGGACACTGAGGCCTATAGCAAGGAGGGCGGGGCCTGGGATGGCCTCCGGGCGGAGCAGGCTCAAACTCTTGATGCCCCCAGGGAGCTCTGGGCAGTTAGGGGTCCCTCTTCTACCTGGCTCTGGGTCATCTTCTTGGGGAAGGGGTGACTCCCTGGGTTTGCTCCAAAGGCAGAGCCCCAAGCTGCCCTCTCTAATCTCCCTCCTCCCAGCCAGCTCCTCAACCACAGCCTTATCACCCAGGCCCTGGCTGTTGTTCAGAGCAGCCCTAATCCCTTTCCCGCGCTAGGCCCTATCGCCCAGCCCTGCAGCCCCTGCAGCCCTGCATAGGGCTGGACCAGGGGAGGGCGGGGGATGAGAGGGACTCCTCCTCCAAGGCCTGGGGAATGGGACCAGCAGAGGAGCCCACAGGTCCGGACTGAGTATTTCCTCTGAGCTTCTACCTGGGCGCAGCATGGGGATGGGGAGGAGAGAGGACCACTCGAAGATGCTCTCTGTCTCCCAGGAGCCCTCAGCAGAGCCTCGCAGGCTGGGCACAGGAATGTGAAACTTTTGGGGGAGGAGGAGACACCCTCTGCCCCAGATGGCTCTGCACAGGAGGCCAGGAGTCCTGGGTGTCAGGCTGGTCTGGCTCTGCCCCTCCCCAACTCCCACCTGGGATCAAGGGCCGGTCCCTTCACTGATTTGGTCCTCGATGTCTTCCCCCACCCCTTGACCAGTGGGTTCAGTGACAGGGCTAGGCTAGGCTGCCCACTGCTTGCTCCTGGAGTTGGTGCACATTCTCCTCTTCCTCCGTGTCCAGAGAGACCTCAGGCCTCCAGGTTGGGTGGAGTGGAGGGTCCTCTCGCGCCTTGGACCCCACACCCAACTCCAACCCTCCCCTCTACCCACCCTGAGAGAGAAGGCCTTTCTCTGTCTGGGGACCAGCCCTGCTCTGGCTGCAGGGGCTCCCAGCTTACATAATAAGGTAGATTTGCAATTGAGGTGGCCCCCGGCTGCAGCCCACCTGCCAGGCCCCCCGTGATAGCACTGAGCTGATGAGCTCACCAGCACTACCCTGGACGCCCCACCTTACAGAAAAGGGAATAGGCCCAGAGAGGTTAAGTATCTGCCCCAGACTGCACAGCAGGTGAGCAGGGATTCTAACCCATGAGCCTCTGACTCCAAAACCTGAGCTCAGACCATCCCTTTCTGTAGCCTCAGAAGGCAGATCCCAACAGGATGCAAATGCAGCTTTCTGGATGTGGGGTCTACAGTATGTCACATATGCAGACACCCCGCCTTTCCTTCTCTGCTCCCAGTGCCACTCAGGGCATGCAGGTGAGAGCAGCCTGGCCCTGGGGTTTTCTAGAGGTTGGGTGTGTTAGTTTCCTGGCAAGGGAGTAGTGAGGGAGGTCAGGATTTGTAACTGCCATAACAAAGAACTACAAACTGGGTGACTGAAAACCACAGAAATGTACTCTCTCAGGATTCTGGAGTCTAGAAATACGAAATCAAGGTGTCAGCAAAGGCCAGTTCCTTCTGGAGGTTCTGAGGGAGAGTCTTTTTCAACCTCTCTCCTAACTCTGGTCGTTGCCAGCAATCTTTGGTGCTCTTTGGCTTATGGCTGCATCACTCCTATCTCTGCTTCCCTCTCCATGTGGCGTTCTCCCTGTGTGTCCGTGTCTGTGTCCAAATTTCCCTCTTCTTATAAGGAAAATAGTCATATTGGATTCGGGTCCACCCTAACCCAGGATGATCTCATCTTAACTTCTCTGCAAAAACCTTATTTCTAAATAATGTCACATTCACAGGTGCCAAGTAGACATGAACTTTTGGGGGACATTATTCAATCCAGGACCATGGGTGTTTGATTTCAGAAGGATGCTCTAAAATACAGGAGTATTGTCCTCTTGGGCCTCCTAACCGTTCTCACCCTCCCCCCTTGTAGGTGTGGAGCTCACGCTGAAGATGCCACGCTCCTTCCTGGTGAAGAGCAAGAAGGCTCACACCTACCACCAGCCCCGTGTGCAGGAGGATGAGCCTGTCTGGCCTCCTGCCCTTAGCCCCGGTGAGTGAGAGCCCAGGCGGGCCTCCTGAGGCACGCACGCGGGGCTCCCTGCCCCACGTGATGCAGATGCAGCAGCATCCCACCCAAAGTGGCCCCTCTTCCAAGTCTGGAAGCGGGAGGAGCTCAGAAAATGTTGGTTGAATGAATGACTGAATGAATGCACTCATCTATCTGACCCCTTGGGGTGATGAGAGCATCAGGATTGGAGGTGGTCCCCGGTAGCTGATGTGTGGGTCCTATTCAGAGGTCCAATCTAGGGCTGAGGTTGGGGTGCTCAGAAAAACCAAGACTGGTCCAAGAGTTCTCGGGGATCTCCTCCTAGCCCCCACCCTGCGGGCAGAGCCCCTGAGCGTGAGCAGCGGGAGGCAGCAGCAAGTGGGTCTCCCTCTGGGTCCCCCTCCTCCTGGGAAGGAGTCTTCCCCCTGGCTCCCTTTGGACTTCCCAGAGCTGTAGCTGGTGGCTCTGATGATCTTGTCTCCCCACAGTGGCCAGGGACCAGGTCCTGAGCAACGACCCTGTCCTCAGCACCCTGTTCCCAAACCAGTGCCTGGACTGGACCAGCCTCAAACGGGAGCCGGGGCTGGAGCTGGACCCGAGCCTGACCAGGACGGTCTCTGCGCCAGGTACCCAGCATTCCCCAGCGAGCGCAAGGGGATGGGGGGGATGGGCTTCTGGACGCAGGGGCCCTTGGAGTCAGGAAGGAGCGACAAGATTCCCTAGATACTTCTGCCGGGACCCCTCTTGGACGAGGAGCTCATCCCAGAGGAGGGCTTCTGTGGGGGGGTCAGAAGGAGCAGCTGGGCGGGCTGACGCAGCGGGTGAGGTGGGCACTCAGTGGGGGATGGGGGGCAATTCTGGGCTGGAAAGCTGAGGAGCCACAATGAGCACCCAGACCCTCCCCCACAGTAAATATCTGGGGCTTACCCACTGTCACCCTCGGCTGACCTCAGCGAGGTCACTAATGGAGGGGGGTGGGGAGTGGGTGCCCTGTTTTTAAACGAGTCACCACCACATGTGTGTTCCACTGTCCACAGAGGGCCCCACCGTGCTGTCTCGACCCCAGGACGGGGACTTGCCACCCTCCGACTCACCCCCGTTCTACAAGCCCAGCTTCTCCTGGGACGCCCTGGCCTCGTCCTACGGCCACAGCTACCGGCAGGCCCCCTCCACCATGCAGTCCGCCTTCCTGGAGCGCTCCGTCAGCCTGTATGGCAGCCCCCTGGTGCCCAGCACTGAGCCGCCCCTGGACTTTAGCCTCCGCTACTCCCCGGGCATGGACGCGTACCACTGCCTCAAGTGCCACAAGGTGAGCAGCCGGGGTGCAGGCGGGCTCTTGGGCCCCACTCTGCTTCCCCTCTCCCGCACCCTGGCAGCTGCCGGGGTTCACAGCTGTGTGTTCCCTGCACTGTGAGTCTCAGGTCTCCTGGTGGGATCAAGGCTTCTCAACGTTCGTCCTCATCACTATTCACTGAGCCCTGATGATGTGCTCAGCCCTGTGCTAAGCACTTGACATTCATGAGCCCTGGGAGGTGGATAAAGGGCTAAGGTTCAGAGAAGTTGAGTCATTTGCCCAAGAGCACACACCAAGTATATATCAGAACCAGCATTCAAACCTGGCTCTGGCCAACTCCCAATTCTTAACCACTAGGCTCTTCAGCCTCTAGATTGGGTTACGAGAGCTCTTCCAGACCCCCCCTCCTGGCCTCTATTTTATAGACAGGAAACCCAGCCACAGAGAGGGAAAGGGACCTTCCCAGGACACACAGCACATGCCAGCAGAATCAGCAATCCAGCGCACCTTCCCTTGAAGGCCTACCCGTGGCTGGAGCCGGGGGTGGGGTCGGCCAGGGGACCCCAGGCCCGTCTCCATCTCTGCAGCACCCAAGTGGCCTCATGCTCTGCCCCTGCCCCCAGGTGTTCTCCACCCCACACGGGCTCGAGGTGCACGTCCGCCGCTCCCACAGCGGGACCCGGCCCTTCGCCTGCGACATCTGCGGCAAAACTTTTGGCCACGCCGTGAGCCTGGAGCAGCACACCCACGTTCACTCCCAGGTGGGTGGCCGGCCCGCACAGGGCCCCTGGTCCCCACTCCTGCTCTGTGCTCCTCCCAGGAAGCCGAGGGGGCTATGGCTGGGTCTCCCACCTGCCCCTGAGGGTGACACAGATCCGGGGTCCCTCACTATCTGACTCTCCCGTCTGTGTCTCCCACACCCGCCCTTAACCCAGGTCAGCCCCTGATGGGCCACGAACAACTGAAAGAGGCTCTAGGCCCAGGTGGGACTTCAGGGACAGCCGGATGTCTATGACGTTCCAAAATGTTCTGGCCTCCTTGGTGGTCAGGGCAGGTGTCTTCACCTTTAGGGCCCTCGACCCTTAGAATCTTGGAGTCAGCCTTAAAGGTTCGTCTCGTCCTGCCTAGCCCCACCTGCGCAGGAACCCCTTCTGTATCATCCATTCCAGGGAGACACCGGGAACTGCCCTGAGTTGCTCTCACCTGGGTAAACGTGAACGACCGGTGGGAGAAGGGGGAGACGATCATGAGCCCGTTTCGCATGCCGGTTGCCGGCTCAGTTCTCTGCCTCCAATCCTCCTGACGACCCTTTGAGGTCATTACTATCACCGTCCCAATATACAGAGGAGGAAACTGGATCTCACGGAAGTAAAATGACTTGCCTAAGGTCATGTGGCTAGTAGGAGGCAGAAGCCAGATTGGGCCCCCGATAATTGATTCTTAACTAAACCACTGCAGCCCATGACCATCCCTGCCTCAAGGAACTCATTCTGGGTTAAGGGGCATGAAATGCGAATCCCTCAAAAAACTCCCAGATCAGTCGGTCCATCAGGCAGTCAACAAACACGTCTTGAGGCTTATTTTGAGGGGGATACTATGAAGGTTATGAGGAAAAATCCCACAGGAGGCCGCTCAGGCCCCAAGTCTCAGTTGGGGGTGCCTGGGTCCTGCTCCTCCAGGCCCTGTCCTCGGGGCCACCCCAACGGAGTGTCCTATTCCTCAGGGGATCCTGGCCGGGTCCAGTCCTGCGCCCAGCTTGGCAGTCCCGGGTCGCGAGGCCCCGCCTGCGCCTGACCCCCCGGGGCCGCGTTTCCTCCGGCAGGAGCGCAGCTTCGAGTGCCGGATGTGCGGCAAAGCCTTCAAGCGCTCGTCCACGCTGTCCACCCACCTGCTCATCCACTCGGACACGCGGCCCTACCCCTGCCAGTTCTGCGGCAAGCGCTTCCACCAGAAGTCAGACATGAAGAAGCACACCTACATCCACACCGGTGAGGCAGAGCCTCCGGGTAACCCCCTTTCACTGTGAGGAGGTCCCGGCTCCAGGACGGGGGTGGGGTCAAGTTACACAGGGGGGCCGCTCTCCCCTCCGACAGGAGGGCTGGACGCACTGTTACTTGAGTTCACTTAATGGATAGGAAAGATACTGGGAGGAAAGAGCAAAAGTGAAAACTGATGATTTCTGGGTTCCTCCACTCGTCCGTTCATCCATTCATTCGTCCCTCCATTCCTTGGTTCACTCATCCCTCCACTCATCCATTCTTCATCCCTCCACTCATTCCTCCTTCCATCCCTCCACTCATTCATTCATCCCTCCACTCATTCCTCCTTCCTCCCTCTGCTCATTCCTCCTTCCATCCCTCCACTCATTCCTCCTTCCACCCCTCCACTCATTCATTTGTCTCTCCATTCATCCATTCTTCATCCCTCCACTCATTCATTCATCCCTCCACTCATTGCTCCTTCATCCCTCCGCTCTTGCATTCTTCATCCCTCCACTCTTGCATTCTTCATCCCTCCACTCATCCTTCTTCATCTCTCCATTCATCCATTCTTCATCCCTCCACTCATTCATTCATCCCTCCACTCATCTGTTCTTCATCCCTCCTCTCATTCGTTCATCCCTCCACTCATTCCTCCTTCCATCCCTCCACTCATTCATTCATCCCTCCACTCATTCATTCATCCCTCTATTCATTCATTCATTCCTGGGCTGTCAGCTAAGTGCCTCTTTTGCACCAGCCCTGTGCCACGTGCTAGGTTATATGGATAAACAAGACAGATGCTGTCCCTGCCCTAACCTGGGCACAACGCGGTAGGTGGAGGGAGCATAGTTGTATTTTTGCATGTCTCCCTTTTCTAGTTATCTTCTAAAATGAATGTGGGCTATCTGTAAGATAAAACGTAATAAAGTTTGGAGAACGAATGCAGGGCATTGCGGCAGCAGGCCTGGCGCAGATGGCCCTGACCCGTCCTTGCTGCCCTGCAGGTGAGAAGCCACACAAGTGCCAGGTGTGCGGGAAGGCCTTCAGCCAGAGCTCTAACCTCATCACCCACAGCCGGAAGCACACGGGCTTCAAGCCCTTCAGCTGTGAGCTGTGCGCCAAGGGCTTCCAGCGCAAGGTGGACCTGCGGCGGCACCGCGAGAGCCAGCACAACCTCAAGTGAGGCCGTGCCTGCTCCCGGCTTCTGGCCAACGTGCCCTGAGATCCCATCACCCGGAGGGAGGCCAGCCTCAGGCACCCAGAACCCCAGTCTCCTGGAGGCAGCACTGGACGAGAGTCTTCGAGCTTGTTTTGAGACTCATGAAATTGCTGTGTGACCTTGAGCAAATTGCTTTCCCTCTCTGGACCAACATTTCTCCTGCTGCAAAGTGTGGGAGCTGGGTTGGGTCTTTTTGGAGCTGACGTTATCTACAGGTCTAAGAGCTCCGTGCCCTACCCAGGGCAGAGCCCAGAAGGCCAGAGTAGCCCCAGGTGGACATTGATGCCAAGAATAGACCAGAGATGGGACCCACAGACATCCTCACCCTGCCTGCTGCCCACCATGCTGGGATCTGGTCACCTTGGTTTTAGTGGCCCTCTTTCAGGCTGCCCAGGATGCTCAGAGCTGCTTCCTGCCCCAGTGGGAGGCCTAGCACCCCTCTGCCTCAGCCAGACGTGCTGCCTGCCCCACTCTGCTGACTGGCACTCAGCTGGCCCCGGGCATTCCAGTCCTGCTGTCAGACTGTGGGGCTGGAGAAACCAGAAGTTACTGCTGTCGAAAGCCTGTTCCCCTCAACTGCTGTACATAAAAATAAACACAGATTTCTTTACATTTGACCAGCATTTATGAGGCGCCCGCCGGGTGCAGGCTAGTGCATGGGGCTTTGGGGAGGGGGACTGGGGAGCTTTGGAAAGCAGAGAAGGCTATGGAGTTGCTCACAGACAAGTTGGGAGATGTGTGCCAGACCAAAGTGGTAAGTGCTGGAACAGAAGCGTAAGAGACCCGGGCAAACCAAGACCATGGGGAAGGGCAAGGTCAGCGCAGTTGAGGGCTGTATCAGTGTCCTGTGGCTGCCATAACAAATTGCCACAAACTTGGTGGCTTCAAACAACACAAATTTATTCTCTTACAGTTCTGGAGTCAGAAACCCCAAATGAGTCTTATGGGGCTAAACTCAGGTGTTGCAGGGCTGCGTTCCTTCTGGAGGCTCTGGGGGAGAATGGTTCTCCCATCTTTTTTGGCTTCTAGAGGCCACTGCAATCCTCAGCTTGTGGCTGCTTCCTCCGTCTTCCAAGCGCAACCCTCTGACCTCTGCTTCCGTCATCCCATCTTGTTCTTCTGCTGTTGACCATGCTTCCCTCATGTAAGGACCCTGTGATCCAACAGGCCCCCCTGACTAATCCAGGGTAATTCTCTCATCTCAAGGTCCTTCATGGAATCACTAGGGTAGGCTGGGTAATGGCCCCCAAAGATGACATCCTCGTCCTGGTCCCTGGAAGCTGTGACTGTTACTTTATATGGCAAAAGGGACTTTGCAGATGTGATTAAGCCTCTCACTAGCTGTGTGACTTCAGGCTGAGCTTCCTCCTCTGTAAATGGTCAAGGTGACAGTCCCTTCCTGTGGACCTCTGAACACTGAGGTCCTTGGTCTCCTGGCTTACAGCTCAGAACCCACTGAACCTGGACTGGCAGTTGTCTGTGAGCAACTTTCCCCTCTGTTAGAAGACATTCTCTCTGGGCTCCAGCCCTCAGCACCAAGCCCATGCCTGGCCCTCAGCAATGGACACTGCTGAATGAGTCACTCTGGGTACTGAGCTGGGTCCAGGGTTTCCACACATCGTCTGTAACCCATGCAACCCTCTGCAAAGGAGGTGTCATTATCCCGTTTTACAGAGGGGGCAACTGAGGCTCAGAGAGGTCGGCCAGTTTGCCCCAGGTCCACAGCAGGCAAGTGCAGAGCTGGGATCAGGATGTCTGATGCCAAGTCTCCTTCTTTGAGTCCCCATTTGCCCTCCTCCCAGTGACGCCTGCAGGTGTTTCTCGTCCCCTCGGCTGTGAATCAGTGGGGTTCTGAGGCCCCTTGGGGCTGGTAAATCCCAGGCTCTGGGTTTGTCTGGGCAGGAACCTGGTGGTAGACTTCATTCCAGAGACTCTTCCTGTTCACTTTAGCCAGAATTCCCCTAAACAAACCTGTCGGGTGTGCAGAGGGTGGGGTAGGGCTTCGAGGTTTGCATAGGAGGGGGGTCTGGCCTCCACAGCGGCTCCTGGTTCGCCCGGCTCTTGCAGTCAGAGGAAGAGGGCGTCCAGCAGCCAGTGCATCAGAGCCAGCAAAGGTTCGAGACAGTGGAGACCTCCGCTCCCTCTCCTCCTGTGCATGTAGACGTGAGGCCCAGAGAGGCGAAGCAGCTTGCCCCAAGCAATGGCCCAGGCCTAGAATGCGCTCCTGAGCTCTGGGTGAGGGACCTTGCCCTACACCTCCTAGGTCGGGGAAAGTGTGAAGGTGGATGCTGGGGACACACACACACACACACACACACACACACACACAGACGGAGGAGCTGCTTTGCATGCTCCTTGTTTGCTAAACAAAACCACACCAATATCAGGATTTCAGCCGCTTCTGCGGCAGGGCAGGGCACGGAAGAGAAGCTGAGCCATAGGCGAGCCAGACAATGTGTCTCTCTTCATCTGCTGAGGCTCAGGAAGACTGGATTTAGCTTGTGGGGCCCTCCACTGAGTGCCCACAACAGTGTGGGGGTGGGGGGACCACTGCAGCCTCAGAGCGGTGGGGGCTGGTGCCCCATTTGCACATTGCAGAGAAAGGGGCCGGTGTGCGGGCAGGTCTGTGGGGCCATGAGACCTGCTTCCTGGGAAGCATCAGCACTGCATGGAGGGGCCTGGCTGGGGGCTCTCCCGGCCCCAGAAGGCAGTCATCGGGCATTGGGGGCTGCTCCGAGTGCTCCTTGCTCCCATGCCCTGAGCCGGAGAGCAATGCCACTGCCCCTTCCCCACCCCCAGCCCTCCCGCGACTGCCAGACCCCCAGGGCTGTCACGGGAAGGATGGGCTTCACGCGCAGAGCTGCGGCCCCTGGAGAAGGCTGACAGGTTGGCACCAGCCCACAAGCCAGCAGCAATTTTCCCACGAGCGGGAGCAGAGTTCCCCATCAAAGTTTTGCCTCCTTCAGGAAGCAGGGCTGCTCTCATCATGCTGGGATTGGGGGGTCCCAACTCAGTAGGTGCAGCGGGGCGCCACCCAGCTGCTATCTGTGATTGGAGGAGCATTCAATGCCCCCATCGTTCACCTCCCATTCCACGTCCACTTCTTCCCGGTCTGAAACTCCCACCGTCTGAGTCATGGTGTGTGAACTGGTGGGCACCGTGCGGCCCTCTGAAGGACATGGCTGCCCTTTGCCACACAAGGGAATGGGCCCAGGGAGGGGATGGTGGCCCTGGTCATACCTCCTGTTAGTGGCAATGCCACACAGAATCCAGGTTTCTGACCCTGAGTCTGTGGCTTTTCTACCAGGGCCATGCGGTTGATTGCACGACTCCGGGGGAATCTGTTTACATAGGACACGGTGCAAATGGTGGCCTCTGAAGTTGTGTGGTGAGATGGGGGGCTGCCACCCCCCTCAGACTGCTGCACTGACCCTGCTGCTGAGAGTTGGGTGGGTGTGGATGGAAGCATGTGAGACTTCAGGATGGCGCCGGTATCTCGACCTAGAGTATCAATTTACTCAATGGTAACTAACAAAACCAATATTTTAATATTAAAACAAACTGGCCATATTAGGGAGCAGAATGCAACATCTGAATTAATTTTCAGATAAAATGTCCCGTCAGTGGTGGTAGCTTCAAGCTACTTCCCCAGCCCCTGTGCTCTGCCTTCCCCTAGACGTGCGAGAAGCCCTGCCCCAGAGCAGGCCACAGCCCAGCAGGGCAGCCAGGCCCTGCCAGCCCCAGGACCAGGACCCCCTGAGGGACAAACTGGGAGATGCCCAGCAGAGCCCTCCATGGAAATCACCGCCAAGGATGGAAATGCATCTCCCAGGGTCAGCCCAGGCATTTCTGTGTGTGTGGCAGAGTTGGCCCCAGCCTGTCGCCATCTGCCACTGCCCAGGGTGGAGTGCACTGGCCTGGAAGGGGTGGATGGACTGAGGTGAGGAGGCATGGCCTGGGCACTGGGGCAGTGGAGGAAGTGGAAGGATGCAGGGGTCTGGATTATCTAGAAGAATAGGACCTATTCTGAAAGTTCCCTAGAGACCAAATGCACTTCCCCCATCACCTAAAGAATCAACACCCGGCTCCTGGCAGTGACCTAACCTTTCCCACCCTAGACGGGCTCCCGCTTGGTGAGGGCGCAGGCTACTCCAGAGGGAGGGAGCACGGCGAATAAAGGGGTGGGGCTGGGCCGGCCCCGTGGCTTGGTGGTTAAGTGAGCGCGCTCCGCTGCTGGCGACCCGGGTTCGGATCCCGGGCTCGCACCGACGCGCTGCTTCTCCGGCCATGCTGAGGCCGCGTCCCACATACAGCAACTAGAAGGATGTGCAGCTATGACACACAACTATCTACTGGGGCTTTGGGGGAAAATAAATAAATAAAATCTTTAAAAAAAAAAAAAAAAGGGGTGGGGCAGGGGATAGAAGAGAGGGGACCAGAGAATGGTGAGGAGCCTGTGCTGGCTAGAAGTGTAGGCAGCAGGAATGGCCACAGGCAATGGGGCAGAGCCTGGCATGGGCCGGGGGCAGCAGGAGAGACCCAAGACCCAGAAGAGTCTGCCAAAGGCACCAGAGCCACTGACAGCTTTGGAGACCAGGGGAGGAGCCAGAGAGACCAGGGAGCCGAGCTTTGAAAGACGATCCTTGGTGGGTGCATGGGGTGGCCTGAGGCACGCAGTGGGAGCACTGGGGGCTGGAGCCGTGTTCAGAGTCTGTATCGGGAGTGACGGCAGCACCAGCTTCTCCCCAGCTGCCTGCCAATGCTTGTGGGGAGGCTCCCCGGGATGGAGAGGAGGACACGCAGAAGAACATCAAGGGCGCACCGTCCTGCTTCCCTGGAATTCTGGACAGGCAGCAAAGTCTTTCCCCTAAAGGCACTTAGGGAATTCTCGATGCTGTTTCTCACCTGGCACCTTTGCCCATGGCATTCCCTCGGCCTGAAATGCCCTCTTCCCTCCCCTGAACCCTTGAAACCCAGCTCAAGTGCATAAAAGTTTTCAACGTGTGCTCCCTCCGTGACCCGCCATACCACTCCTAGGAATTTATGTTAAAGAAATAGTCATGGATAGGAATAGATTAGCCACAAGACCATCTTCTGAAGCCCATCAGTAACGGCAAAAAAACAAAAGAATTGCAGCCATCCTAAACTCCCGTGAGAGGAGATTGGCTAAGTGACCAATGGTGCATCCAGACAGTGGACGTCCACGTGGCCATTGAAAGCAGCCAGTGTGCATCCCCAGGACTGACCGGAGAGGGGCGAGGCGCTGATGTGGTGTGAAAAACGCTTGCTTCATGATAGTGTGCCGGTTCTGTAAAAAACAGCACAATGTACAATTGTAGATGCTTAGAAAAACAAATCTGAAGAAAGTCCACCAAACCGCTGATAGCAGTTGTTTCTGGGGGCTGGGAAGGAGGGCTGCATTTCAGTCTCAACGCTATCTATAAAAGGGACTTGGATTTATACGTGTGTGTGTGTATATATATATACATTTTTTTTACTGAAATAATTGAAGAGAAAATAGATTTTGGAGAATAAATATGTGGACATAGGAAGCTGTTCGTGATATCTTAACTGAAAAAGTGGTTTAAAAATCAGTATACGCCAT